TGGCACATGCTGAATTAATTTAAGGTCACGTCTGATTTCACATTTATATATTTATTTATTTATCTGACATTTCACGCCTGTCTGTAATACAAAATAGGCAAAAAATTTAGAATCTGGTAATACACTATCTATTTTTGTCAATATTGAGGTACTGACTCAATAATTATATCATATTTTTATACTTATATGTACGACAGAGTGTTAGTATGAGTTGAAAGTAGGTCAATTGCAAAGCAAGGTTGTCTATTATGATTCGAGATATAAAAATTATTAACATCGAGATGTAGTACTTAATTTACTAGTAATATACAAGTAGTCTTTAAGACTCTCCTATGATAGCTGAATATGCAAATATTTTAAAATACCATGCAGCAAAACAATCTCTACCCTATGCTATAGAACGACAACATACAAATGAAAAAAAAACGTAAAATTCAAAGTTAACTTTTAGTTAGCTTAACTGAAACAGCTTTGACGCTATCCATACAAAAATCGTGTCAAATTATCCGCTTCTATAAATGACTGACGCTTAATCAAAGGTGCTGAAACAAGGACCAAATACAGGACAAGGACCAGAAACAAGGACCAAAAATTTCGTGACAAATTAGTCTTAATCTATTGCACTTAAATCAAAATACAAACATTCAACCGAAAATGCTGAAAATTTGAAATCTATGCTTATGTATGCTGTCGTCCTATGAAAGGAATATAAATTAAATCAAGACAGAAGTTAAGGGTCGTATCGATGAATTTGTGAGCTGTGAAGAGCCCAACTTTGTACTGTCAACTATTATTAAATTACATACACTGGGATTTAAACAAAAAGGTGCAATATTGAAACCGACTATCCCCTTTCCTTCATTTTCATTTCAAAAAGCCTTATTTATCAACCGTAGAATGCAATTGGGGCTATCGTATTTTAGCTCACCAGTTGGCGTAAATGTAGAAAGAGGTTGTTTTGTCCAATCACAACTGCTGTCAAATATTGAACGTCCAATGGTGTGACACAAGCCGTTTACTTACCAAGCCTTGTTCGCACTGCGCTAGTATTTTAGTCGAGTAGCGAGTATTTAATTTAGTAGCCTTCTCTCGCTGCTGTCGCAAAATTGAAGCGTGAGATAGTTACTAAGAACTAAAATACTAGCGCAGTGCGAACAAGGCTTTAGGCGAAGAACGAGAGGTTTACACTAGCGCCGGTTAGTGGGCAAAAATATGGTATGCTCCATTGTGATAATGAGTCGATTTAACTGCCGTTGAAAATTTTATTTAATCACTGAATTACATTTAGTTCGAGCTTGAAACATTTTTTAAAGAATAATTGTTCCGTTCAGTGGACAAAATCTTGCAAGCGAGTTATAATATTGCACCTTTACAAGAATTTCATTGTGTTACTACTAATTTACCTACAAAACAATTCGGACTAGAATAAGTTCTAAGTTTAAAGGGACATTCACAAATAAAAGAAATAACTAATTTTACTGTGCGCATTGACAATACGTTTAGGAATTAGAATTACTACCTACCAAGTGATTACAAATACAATTTATTAATATGATAAAAAAATCGTTTGGTTTCAGTTTAAAAGAGACATAATACATATAGGCTTATATACGGTTAATGTTAAAAACAGAACGTAGCAATCGTGGAAATTGCATCAGCTATCGTCCAAATGATACTGAAACTATTTAACTCGTCGAGTACCGGTTTTATAGACACAATTAAAGAACAATAGGTCGCGGTCACCGGTGACCGCTTGGTGTTTGACAGTTTAATTAGTTTATTTGACGTTTATTTAGTTCCAAGTAACAAATAACCAAAAAAATTAGGTTAGGTATACCTATTACAAAAAATGTTGCATAATAATTCTAAGGGAAAATAAAAAAGTAAAAAATGTGGTGCAAAATAATAATCACAACGGTTATTGAATAAAACAGTTTTTATTTAATAAAAAAACAGTTTCGTTCAAAACGTGTTCGGTGGATTATTCTGTTGCAATTGTATTTGTAAGTCAATCAGTTCTGTCAGGTATAATGATAGAATTACGCATTCTAATATACGAGTTTTGTAAGCTAAGTATACGATTAGACACAGATTGGGAAAATAAATTTTTATGAGGTGTAGATTGAAAATAGTCTACCTATATGATGACAAAATAATTCTTGAATAAAGTTTACTTGTCTACAAACTCACTATTTGTGACATAAGTTAGATGGCAGATATAGGTATTGCCATTACTCAAATAAGCAAAGGGTTTAAAAATGCTAATAACATTTTAGATATTTAAAACAAGTCTTAAATATCATGTCAAGAGTTCATTTTCTGTCAAATTATACAGATAGATGACGCTATTAAAGAAAAATGATAACTGTTTTTGTGCATCGAAATGTTTATACCAATTAACCTAAAAAAAATCTTAAAAATGTACCTAACAATGCCGTTTAAGTGCAAAAATTACGTTTAAATATTAATTTTATTTGTAATTTGTGCTATAGATAAAGGGAACTATTTAAACTTGCATCTTCATTTAAATTTTTAGGTTAGTAAAATTCCCGCGCTATTTTGACATCTTTTGACACATAAGGACGCCATTTGCATTTCTTGGTGTTGGTGATAATCATTTTTAAGGTATGAAATATTTATTTATTTTATAATTTGCTAGGTCAGTACTATTTCATTTCATGTATAAAAATGTGTATTAATACGTTATTGTAACAATATTTATTGGTGCTATTTGTTATTATATTGAAATATTGAGCTTGCGCACGATTTTATTACTTTACGGTTGATTTTAATAAAATATTCAGATTTAATTAATATTTTGGCACACTTTTGGCAAGTCGTTTGTCCTATGGTTACTTAATAAGACTCTTGGCTTGGTTTCCATTAAAGCTGTTCATTCAAGGTAACTTCCCTTCTGTTTGTAAGAAAAATGCGTAATTCTTCTCAATTTTGTATAAAATTTGGTTTTATTCAAAAATCTAGGACTTAAATATAAATTGCATTGATATATAGTAGATTTTCTATTTCTACACATACATATAATTAATAATTTGGTTAATAAAACCTCATTCACAACAAAGGAACGTTGTACAACACTCATAGACTTGATGTATATATTACATTACCTTATATACTTACTTACACACACATTAATTGTATAATACATAATATATTCCTATTTATAATAATACTGCCGATACAAATGTCATAGACTTAATATATCGAATGTTGTATTTACATTTAATTTTATATATTTTTAAAATTCATACATATATTTAGAATTCAATGAATATATCCCATTTTATCTACGTTGACACATATTTAAATATACTATAGTTAAACGTTGTCGGATAAGATTAGCGATGAATTAAAATTTGAATGATCATTTTAACTCACTATTCGTGTGTCACAACGTTATCACAATAGTGATAGTATTAACGACATTAAAAGGAATAATAGATTCCGAAATATTCATAAAATTTTCGTAGAAGAGTGAGGTAAAACAATGCAGTAATAAAGGGTCACGTATGATAAAAGATCGTTGTATGAATATTACAATAGTACATCGAGACGAACATCCCACGTTGATCTTTAATGAAATCACAGAATACTCACGACAAAGAAAATATAAATACTTAAATACTTCTTTTTAAATGGTCTTCTTTGAAATCTTAAAATTATCGTTATAAACATTTAAATCCCTTACAGAACAGGTTTGAGTATTGCTCAGAATTTCTATAATTATAAAACTTACTTAAATAAAATACATTAGGTACGAAACACACAGTTATTTGAAAAAAGGCTCAGGACTCTCTCTTAATACTGTTCGACATACACAGATGCACAAAGTAGATACACACTAACTTACGATCGCTATACCTAAAAAAAAACACATTGATCGTTGGGAAGCAACTATAGCACTAGAAGCTTCAAACAAAAAGGAATGTTCACAGCAAAACCTATTTTACAGAAGCGAATTTAAAAAAAACTTATCGACCATTTTTTATCTGTGGTTATAACTGTCAAATTTATTAGAAGCATTCGACGAAAAAGATAGCTGTAAGTAAAATAAATTACCAATATAAGACTGCAAATAAAATTGTTCGTGATCTAAATTCGTCGATATTTTAATCCTAGAAGCTCAAACCTTAACCAGAACACTGTAGAGAAATATCTGACTAGAGTAACACCTTCAAAGCGATCCGATACGAAAATACGAGATTTGACATTTGCCTTTGACGTTTCACTTCTAGTGTTGCAAATTTATTTCAATTTTATTAGATCATTATTTGAGTAAATGTTGAAATTTATTTTAACAAACGCATTTATACGCAATATACAACAATCCAATACCCCGTATCTACTGGCATAAAAACGTTACTATTATTATTCAATTTCTACTTTTTTGACCGACGTGTTTTGCCGTATAATTTGAATGTTGGCAGTTTTTTGTTTATGTGTGTGTAGTAAGTAGTAATTATATCGTCTTCATAAACTTTCGGCAGTAAATCAAATTAACCTCATACGACATACAGTATGAAATTTATTACGAATAATCTCAGTAAAATCTCAGTAAAAAAAACTTATCTTTGTATTTAAACCTGAATTATATATCCAGCGTGGTCTTCGTATCCTCGTATCGATTCCTTTTGACTAGATTCTGACAACTACCAATGTTTAACGCAGTTATACTCAGCTCTTTTCCTATAACGCTAATCATTCTTAATATACTCTTGACGTTTTAACTTTTGCTCTTAATTTTTGTTTTAAAATTAAATTAATCTTCTTCTTATAACAGGAGAAGACACGGACAGTTTTTGTGTGGTGCATAGCTTCGTAACAAAATCAATTGAATTATATTATCAGATCTTATAATACTGTTACGTGTTCCATTTTATAAAATGTTATTTGGACTGATTTGTAAGAAACTATCAGAAAAGCATCATATAGATATATTTTTTGTTATTCATTAAAATGTAACCTACTTTAGTAGACGTACATCCTTTTCAAATATTATTCGTGTTTTAACGAAGCATGACTCGCACTACACAAACAACGTCCGATATAAAACATTCTTAAACCACGAAACTAAACCAAAACAAATGTATCTACGTCTAAAATAATACACTATGTATGGACGGGACGGTCAACTCACTAATCGAAATAAAAATTCACAACTAATCGTTTCAATGGACAACAAAATAAATATTATTTTCTCACACTTAATATGGATGATACCACGTTTTATTAGCAGTCCATTTTAGTTCACAATTTAGGAAGAATATTTGAAACTAGGTGGTTATGTGTTAAATTGTACCAATGTTGGTAACGGAGAGTTTTGACACATTGGCACATTGCTTTTATTTTTGTTTTCGATCTTCAGAACCGTTTAAATATCTGCATTTATTTTTATAAACATTAATAGATAAATTGTCGACTTTCTCTCCATTACCAACATCGCTTGACGTAACATCAATAACAAAAACGTAACGGTCACCAAAATTGGGCAATTTACATTTTGGCACCGTCGCAAGACCAATCATTCAAACTTCGAAGCTCATCACAATTCAATTGTACACACCCCTAGTCATTGCTTCCCTATTCCTATTGTGCCACTTGCATGTCAGAATCCTCACGTACGTTCTTCTGAAGGTCGCATTACAGAGAGCGTAACACACTGGGTTAATTGTAGAGTTAATGTAACATAGAGCATAGAAGAAGGACCATAACTCGTCTGGGATACACTTAGTGCAAGCTGTGAGAGGCTTCAGCAACACCAGTATGTTGTAAGGCGTCCAAGTAATTATAAAAGATAGTAAGATGGCCGACAACGTTTTCGCAGCTTTCGTCTCTTGCTTCTTCTCCTGAGTTTTCTTCTTTGGCTTCGGCTGTTTCGTCAATCCCTTACCTGCCAACTGCTTCGGAATAATCTTGGCGTTCAAAGGGATTCTAACATCCTGTATGTGGGATGTCCTTCTCGTCAGTGCTTGATGACCAGCAGGATGAAGGTTGAGCTCTGAGTCTCCTCTGGTTGGTCGGAAATGTGGCCTCGTATTAGAGGGTGGAGACTCTTCTGTAATCATTTTAATCGTTGGTCTTTCAGTGTCAGCGTCTGGTAGCCTGATTAAGATCGTGTACACTGAGTCTGCGGACGCAGATTTTGGTGCAGGTGAGGTAGTAGCGTTGATTCTGGTGTTAGGAGGCAAAGAGCGACTATCACGGGCTGCGGGCATGTTAGAGGGTGGCTCATAAGTTCGGCGGAGGGGAGAGGTACCTCCATCACCTCCAGAGCCACTGGAACCACCGCCGCGAGATGCATAAGGATCCCTGATGACGTTCAGTGATGTGCACCTATGAAAAAAGATATTGATATCAACAAACTGTCCTTTAAATGCTTACTACGGCATTGTGTAAACGAAGTCTCCCAAGTGTACTTCAGATTAGTTCCCAAAATAAAGCTTTTACAGATTTCCTCAACAATCCGTTACTTAAACCGCAAGCCGGAGTTAGGTAATGTCCTATTTATTTATTAACTTTAGGTATAGTGTCCCTTGGATGTTAGAAAGGGTCGGTGTTATTAGTAGTGATCCTGTTCCTTGGGGAATACCTTTATCAATAGCACATGTTAGTCATGTTGGACTTGTATTTATGATGCTTTATACGTTTTACTGTAATGTGTTGTCAGAATTTGGGTTGTGAACAGTGCCTCGTCTATCTGTTCATTAAAGCAGACTAAAGCCGACCGACCTCTTCCAATAGCAAGAGATCTAAATGAAGTATTTTTGAAATTCATACTTATAACTCATTTACTACATAATAATACTTTACTCTAACTAGGAATCAAGTCCAAGATACTTCACCTGGTAGTATTACGGTATATAATAAATACTACACAAATCGATACAAATACAAATATGTTCAGTCTCTTACCTCGACACAGAACTCTGTAGCGGCGTCTCAACAGACACGGGTGTGGCGTACCCAGGGTCTGAGGGTTCCTCCTCAGGCTCCGTGTCCTCCACGTCCTCACGTCCGGAGTGCCACCACGCCACGCACCACGCCCTCACTGCAGCCCAACCTCGGAGCGTGCGACGAGCGTTTGCCGCCTGAGTGACAACGAAAACAGTATATAAAGAATAACTTCTTACAATCCTGAAGTCTGTCTAAACAAATACTGTTTTAAAATGACTAAAGTGAAAATCGCATAATTTATAAGGACGTAAACATATCAAAATATTCTAAACGGCTAACATTCTTTAATTGGTTTGAAACTTTTTGAAAGATTATTAGGTTACCAATCTATTCAATTTTTTGTTGGAATGCATCTATATGACCTGATTTTGTTCGTAACTATGTGAGTAAGACAGTGTGTCCAAGTATATTCTTGACTAAATTATTCACTTTAAATAAACAGTACGTAGGATGCGACGAACATGCACATTGCATTATACGACTTTTATCTCCTCAAAGGACCACGTTTCCGTGTCAGTAAACATTTGGTTAAAAAATAAATACTTAGACAATAATTATGTGAACCTTGTTAACATTGTCAATATAATTTTAAATAACTTTATTGTTTATTTCATTATAAATTGTTGTTTATACCTTGGTATTTAAACCAAATTGGTTAAATTCATTTTTACAAAACATATTAAAGTAACTTATGTAAACGTAAATTGTATTAATTAACATTTTAACCGAAAACATTAATGGATCACCATGCGGGGATTCAACTATTGGGTACTAAAAGATTAAAAGAGAATTGCTATAAATAATGCTATTACTGCATTTGTTTCTCGATTCCGTGGTAATTCAAATAAAAGATTAACAGACAGCAAGTCAGAACATTCACTATCGACAACAACAATTGCCCGACCCGGGAATAGAACCCGAGGCCCCTTGCCCGACAGTCGCAATTACGACTACGCCAATGAGGCAGTTCAATGAAATATGTTAAAATATTTTTTGTAATAATAAATAAACTTATCCTTACATAAAATTTGAAGAGAAGAATTAAAAAAGATGTACCTATTACCAGCATGAAAAAAGAGTTCGAATAAAAACCTTACAATCGCGAATTAGACTTTCCCTAGTCGTTGTAATCAATTAACTTTCAGACTGAGGCCGTTTAATTATGCAAGTGGCTGGTTACATTTGACGGAATAATCGGATGACTGTGAAACTGAATTTATGATGCGGATGGTACCGCCGGTGATAATTACCCGTTATTAATCACTGTTAACCGGCTCAATTACTTAAAAACTGTACAATTAAATTCAATAAAAACATAAGTACCTAGTTGGTTGTTGTTAAGCGAATCTGAAGACATCTAGAACCATTTTTGGTCTCCATTTGTATGTTCCCAAACTCAAAACAGACGATCCTATGTAGAGTAATAGAAGTATTCTATATTCCGTGAATAGAATTAACTACAATCATAATATTATTAAACTGAATATGTATGTATAGATGTAGCCTTCTTTTAAAATGTCGAAAGGTAATTGAAAACATTAGAAACGTTCTGATTGGCTACATTACGTAATGTTATATACTCATTAAATTATATTACGAGGGGAATCCTCTGATGGATTGCCCACTCACGACTAATTTACTACCAACCTTTACTGACTGACGATTTCTTTAATAAAAATAAATGTTTCTAATAAACATCTCTAAATATTGCTCATAATGCAACCAAGTCGACGCCTGCTTCTCATGCATGACGGCGCGGGTTCAAAACCTACCAACGGTAAATACCAATATTACTTTGCCGACTTATATGTACTTTCTAAGAGTATTTAGACACCACTGACAAACGGTGAAGGAAAACATCGTGAGGAAGCATGGGCTTATAATTTTTATTATACGTTTTAAATCGCAAACCCGCATTGAGTAAGCATGGTGATTAATGCTCAAACCTCTGTACGAGAAGAGCCCTTTGGGCAGCAGTGGCCACTTGTAGGCTGTTGAAGTGATGTAAAAGTCACCAATAATACGTTACATTGCCTTATTTGATAGTTATCGGTTGGACAACATGAGTAACTATATAATAATTATGTTAAGATTTTAATGGTAGTTATATTTTGACAATAATTAGCTACTACTCAGAGCTGCAAAATTAATAGATTCCCTGAAACAAATGCATTTAGCACATCTTATACATGACAATGGATCCTATTGTACGAACGCAAAATGCGGAACGAAGGACCAAAATAAAATATAATTCTTTCACCTACATCCTTATCCTTAACCAATAAGGTTCATTTTTCTTTGAATTCTGGTAAAAATAACGTGGACCTAAGCTTATGATGTTGGGTATGTGCCAAGTGCAGCAGTGGGCGACTATTTGGCACGACCCGTCAGAACCGATTGTAACCGATGTGGAAGGCGATTTTAGGTTTGGCTCTTCCATCAATTTATTTGGTTATAGAATATTTACATGTGATCTGAATTTGGAAAACATTCATTTATTCAGTCTTAATAAGTTATTTCATTTTCATAGTACAGAAAATGATTTTATCTTTTGAAATATCTGACAGAGAAATGTTTAAATATAAGTTTAAGAAACCATTAACTGACAAAAAATAATTGTCGTTAAATCACCATTAACTTCGGCTACACAAAACCTTCACACCTCATAAAATTTTCGATTTATTGTCAAAATAAAAAAAAGTTCTTACTCAAAGTAAAAATTCTGAGAAGAGCTACTCAAAAAATCCTTTGAAACAACCCCATTAAATAATACAACAAACAGGTTTAAAAGGGTTTTCAACCTCGTTGGTTATATTTTTCATTTCCTTGTTGATCACGGAATGGTTGCTGAGCAAACTGACGTCGGAGAAAATGGTATAATTTAAGAGAAGCGTGTTATAAGACGGGGAACATTATTACGGCTCTTGAAAACAACGGCCTGTCGACTTGCTATGAAGAGCTAAATTACAGCCTTTTGGGATGCAGTCAGACTCATTCTAAAGAACGTCTCGCAAGTTTTGTTGAGTGATGACATAATGTTCGCTTTGTCTGCTTTATATCGGGTGTAATAATTATTTTATTTTGTTAACAAAATCTACACTATTATTTTCACTATGATTTTTTTTATTTTTGGTTACAAGACTTCTATATTTTTTGGTTATTATTTTTAAATTTAGATACCGTCTTTGTTAATGGGTTTTAAGAAAAATCTTAGTAGTAGCACGGAGTCAGGAAATGTGGCCCGGTATATGGCAATTGGCTCACCCCTTTCTCCTTATTACATGGGACTCATAACATAAACAGTGAACAGTGGGCGTTACATTGTACAGCGGAATTAAGTGCCGTAATGTGCACCTCTGTTATCTTATATTACTTAATTGAAATACCAGGAGTGTATTCAATATAAAATCATCATAATTAGTAAATACAGTAATTGAAAATAGTAGGTACTTTTCAGTAAATTATATTCTGACTTCTCATTATTATTTTATAGAGGTAGTATTGAGAATTAAAATTTAAAACATGAACTCATTGAAAAGCATTTCGTAGGTCTTTTAGAAATAAATCTTTAGCCCTCATTAAATTACATTCATCAGTTTAAATTTAACCTTGACAAGTGAACTCCAATTTTACATTCCTTGACCCTGCAATGTACCTAGAACTTGGATAAGGTTACAGTTTAATTAAAATTAAAAACAATTATATGTAGGTACCTACCACAGATTACATATACCTTTTTTCTACAAACAGAAAGATGGTATCTATTCATTTTAATGCATTTAACGAGCAAATTTTTGCACGATTTAGACTTAAATAACAGACAAGATTATAGATACACAAGAACCTAGGTCTTTCACGAACTTTCACTACAGTTTTTAAAGATAAAGATATGATCAGAATTTTATAGTCCTTGCCTCAATTTCCTAATACTACTAGTATATGAGCCATATTATTGTCAAGTAAATGTTTGCTACAAACATTTTAGTGCAACCAAATCACTTGGCTGGCTATTAAATCGCCGTGTGTCTCACGTAGATCCACGATGTATTTACTATTGTATCTCATACCGGTGCATTCAAGCTGTTAATATTGTTTCACATAAAAAAGTCAAGTTTCGAACAATTAATAAAAAACTGCGTTTAAAAAAAACCGACTTCAAAAACAAATGACAAACAAAAAGTAAAAACTAAAAAGGAAAAAAAAAACTATTAGTGGTCATACGTACTTATAGCTTACACACCCACTGATAGGTTAGAAGTCGGTGCCACAAGTTTTAAACCTAATTATTATATATTCATTAAAACCTTAATAGATACCTAACATGTTTACAATTTTATTATGGATTATCCCAGCTGTGACTTTTGTCTACTTTATATTTTATTGTAGGTTTGTGGCACCGACTTCTAACCTATCAGTGGGTGTGTAAGCTATAAGTACGTATGACCACTAATAGTTTTTTTTTTCCTTTTTAGTTTTTACTTTTTGTTTGTCATTTGTTTTTGAAGTCGGTTTTTTTTAAACGCAGTTTTTTAATTTTATTTTATACTTTTTAGTTTAGTACTTTGATATATTATATTATACAAAACCCACATGGATGCAAAGTTTTCATCAATACAAATTATGCAAGTTCAAACACCGGGTGGGTACTCTTAACCATTGAAGAGTCCCTTAGCTATCATACTACTTCGTCATTGGACCTTTAATGACCATCACCCCCCCCCCCCATCTAGGTGTAAAGTCCTCATAAATACAAATTAATCAAACCCAAACACAAAGTAGCTACTGTTAACCGTTAAGGAGTTCCCTCAACTATCGTACTACTTCATCATCAGACCCTTATTGACAATTACACCCCACTAAGGTGTAAAGTCCTCATCAATACAAATTAATCAAACCCAAACACAAGGTAGCTACTGTTAACCGTTGAGGAGTTCCCTCAACTATCGTACTACTTCATCATCAGACCCTTATTGACAATTACACCCCACTCAGGTGTAAAGTCCTCATCAATACAAATTAATCAAACCCAAACACAAGGTAGCTACTGTTAACCGTTGAGGAGTTCCCTCAACTATCGTACTACTTCATCATCAGACCCTTATTGACAATTACACCCCACTCAGGTGTAAAGTCCTCATCAATACAAATTAATCAAACCCAAACACAAGGTAGCTACTGTTAACCGTTGAGGAGTTCCCTCAACTATCGTACTACTTCATCATCAGACCCTTATTGACAATTACACCCCACTCAGGTGTAAAGTCCTCATCAATACAAATTAATCAAACCCAAACACAAGGTAGCTACTGTTAACCGTTGAGGAGTTCCCTCAACTGGCTCTCGGCTCCATCATCAGATCGGCTCCAGACCTTTATCAGATTGTAGTGGTTTTTAATACTTAATGAAAAAATTAACAAATGCCCTAGTCACCCCTATAATTTTTAAAAGTTCCCCTCGGTTTCCCTGGTCTTCCATCATCAGATCCTGATTTCCTTATCATGGGACCATTCTGGAACTATCTCCTTTCTAACAAAAAAAGAATTTTTAAAATCGGTTTATAAACAACGGAGATATCGGCGAACAAACATAAAAAAAAAAAAAAAAAGCATATATACGGTCGAATTGAGAACCTCCTCCTTTTTTTGAAGTCGGTTAAAAAAACAACGGAGATATCGGCGAACAAACATAAAAAAAAAAAAAAGCATATATACGGTCGAATTGAGAACCTCCTCCTTTTTTTGAAGTCGGTTAAAAAAATGAAGACTTGCTTCGTTTTTTGCAATATTTATATCAATTATCTATGTTAATTAAAAAGATTAGGATGCTATTGAGTACCTACTCATAAGTATATTTTTACGACACATTTTCATTAAGTTTAATATATCAAACCGATACATGAGTAAGCCGTTAAACATAATTATACCTCATAATAGCATTTCCATACATTTTCCAACTACATAGCTATGTAAATGCAAAAACATTTTTTGTTTGTTTTAAAATGAAAATAATTAAAACGCAGTAACTCAACTCCATTAATTCGTACATTATTCCTGGGAAAAGGAAACAATTTGGTAAACCGGAGCAAACGCGAATGAATCAACAGCACGGGGAAACCTCATGTTTTCTTAATCAACTCTAAACTACTTCTACTAAAACATGTAATTCGGTAACATTTCTACTGACGACCCACTACGTTATTGAGTATTTACTTATTAATAACATTGCTATTTTTCATGAGATAAATCGGTTGGCACGTATTAAATGGTGCGACCACTATGCGCTTGAGACAATGAACCTATGTAGCTATTCTTTCCAATATCCTTGATCCCCTACAACTTTCGCTTGAAAAACGACACGAAAATCCATAGTTTTAGTAGCTAAGATGAGAATAATTACGTCCAAAGAAATGATGTTAGTACTTTCTTGGTTTTACTACAGATACTATTAATTCTCTATCGCTATCAAACTTGGTACGATACGAATAATTACGAAAAGCAGCGTGTAGCAGCGTGACAATCGCCGAGTTGCGGGTCGCGGAATGCGGCTCATAAATATGAGCCTCCAGCATGGCTTGAAACTAGTCGAGTTCCTCGTCAAGCAATTACGTAAGAAAGCCGAAAACATAATAATTAATTTAATATATGTCACGAAAGTTTTAATATAAACAATCACATTATACATTTATTAGCATTATAATTACCATCGCAAATTAATTCAATTTATACTCTAAAGAAAAGGTTTGAAATTTAAGTTGACATGTTCCTTCTGCCCTTTGTAAAAGGGTACATTTAATCCGTGTCACATATAACCCCTTTATATACAAGAACAATGTTCAATGACCAGCACTAATTGATGTAGGTAAATATATTATTATCATTGTGGTAAAATATAATATAATAATATGAAGTAGATGTAAATTTTACTGCAAAGGACCACGTTTCGTACAAAAGGACCAGGTGTTCAAATTAGCTTAGAATACGTTTAAATATCAACAATTAAATACAGAAATATTCAACGAAATTCTAGCTACATTTACCAAACTTTCCTTTGTAAAATGCAGCACGTATGTACTTATTTAAAGGCAAGCAGGGGTAGAAAAGTTTTCATTCAAAATGCAGTAGTGTTCACAGCGGTAATTTGGACGAGTAAGTTCTGACACCGATATCTCTTCCCTCTCGCTGCAAGCCTGGTACAATTCAATTTATTCAGTGTGAACTCCCCGTTTTATATACGTCCTATTATTTTAGTTTCAAATCTTCGCTACAATGTTACGCTTGTTTAATTTTGCTCTTGGATTGCAGTTTTGACTTTATAAGTTGTATTTAGCGTTAAGTGTTTGTTGCTTAAGAGTTAAGACTGCTCATTTAAACATCAGTTTACTTTGGTGTTATTTGTGCCTTTTAAGTGTTATTGGAAATATACTTTGTATTGCAACTACTTTTTCTATCCAGTGTCCAGTCTACATAACACTGGAACCACTGCAACACTACCACACACAAAGACATCTTACATTCCTCACCTGGTTATCCCTCCACCGCTGGTCGTGTAGCGCTCCTCTCACGTGGTACACCGAGTCCGCGTCACCAGACTCCGATCTGGCACGACCATCCACTTCTCTCGTCTCGTCACTGAGGACAAAATAAATGGTATAAGTTCAAAGAACTGAATTTGTTTTATGGTATAAGCTGGTAAACGAGCAGACGGATCACATGATTGTAAGCCCATGGACACCCGAAACACCAGATGCTTTACAAGTACGTTACCGGCCTTTTGGGGATTAGGAATTTGAGGATTGTTGGCGATTCAAGGATTGAGGAGATTGTTGGGTAGCTAGGCCTCCGGTAACCTCACTTACATGACAAAACACAACACAAGCGTTGTTTCACGTCGGTATCACTCCGGTCGAGCCATCCCATGCATGCCAAAGCATGGCTCTCCTACACTTGAGTGCAATAGTGCTGATAATAACGTTGAAAAAAACAGGATGTAGAATAACAGTGGGACTTAACAATTTACTTAAGGTCAACTATACAAGAGAATATTTCACTTATAATGTCTTCAGAATAGGTCTTCTCAGCTAGAATCTCCAATAGATTACGAAAAGAAGAGAGGTAGCAGAATTTGATAGTCCCAAGCGTAGAAGTATTTTTTACGTATTTCACAGTAAAAAGTACTTCAGAACTGGGAACTGATTAAAACTGTGTTAATACTTTACTTTGTTCCATGATAATAATGTTGTTATCAACTGCATGGTTAGGCGCTTTATTAACTTTACCAAAATAATAAACAAACAATTATGACCAGGACATTGCAGCTTGTACTAAAATAAAACTCAAACACAAATGAAACTGAGTTACCTACTGAAATTAATAATTACGTACTTAAACTGGTAATGATTCCGCGAATGAGTTCAACGAAATCTTTGAAGTGATGCAACCATAACAACTGTCAGTTTTGGTTTATTACACAGTTAATAATAATATTAACGAAACAGCTCATTGCTCAAGATGAAAGTAAAACAGTCAATAAAGAGGGACTTGAAGCCACATTAACAAAGGAAGTAGGCTCACAAGACCATATATTAACCAAAGCACAAACAATGATACAGTAACCAAATAATAATATGAGATATAAAACCTTTTTTACAAGATAATACAGTGCGACAATAGTTTATTATTTCCATGATAGTACGATAGTAATAACTATAATGTGGAGGAAACATTACGTAATTTAATGTGGTATGCGGTTAATCAAAACCTCGTAAGGCGATACCATGAGAGCTTATCCCTGGCAGTCGGCCAGTGTGCAACGATTTACTTCACATATGGCTAGGCGTAAGTCATAAAAATTCTAGGAGAAATAAAGCTGTATAAAACACGCTGTATATCGTGTGCGAAGGAAATAAAAAAGAAATCTTAGTTTGTGTCCGTATTACATATGAAATAAAGTATGGTTGTAAAGGGTTGTATGGTGCATGTTTACTGAATTTAGTGAAACGGATCTATAAGAAAAGATACACAAATCAGAAACACTGAAAATAGAGAAATCGAAGATGTAATTTAGAATATGAAAACATTATCATCCGTCCTACAATTGGGATGATGACGGGGTATGAAAATTAAAAATATTAGTCCGTAAGTTAGGTAATGAAAAAATATTAGACACGTATTTTTTTATTTTGTCGTATAATAAAACAATACTTAGATAAAACGAAACAAAATTTAGGAGTGGGGCCTAAAACGTAATTTCTATGTATAAAATGTACATAGAAGTGACGTCATGCGACATATCAAATCAATATATCGTCGAAAGTATTCGTTTCTGTAAGAAAATAAAAAATACGTGTATAATGATTTAAAATAATCTACCAGACGGATATTAAAATAAAAATAAGGCATCTACCCTATTAAATTGAATGCATAAATCAAACTGCAAATCGTCAACGTTTATAAAAATCTTACACTAAAGCAAAACTAAAGTAACAATTTAGAAAAATCCGTATTCCAAACAGTTAAACCTCAAGACAAACAACTGACGAGATCTCTACACTTCCACAACTTAAAACCAACATGAAGTTTCAACTTACATTCTAGTTAGAGTGCGTCTCCCGTGCAGTTGTGCCAAACAGCACAGACCTTCCAACTCTGGAATTGCTACTAAATCGTGTGCAGATTGGCCCACTGTGCAACTTTCATTTGTCTCTGACAGTTGGACTACTTATTTACAGTTTCGAATACTAGTAAAACTGTCGCCAGCTTTTAATTGAGTTGAACCAATTGGATTTTCTATTGCACCCACTGTGTGGTCGACGTTGTACGGTGGTAACACGGCTTTTATCATGTCCTTATGGCTTAATTGGATTTTTTTATTTTACCTCCCTTCTTTGTTAAATTTATTATTCTGTTTTGCAGTAGATGTTGACAACAAATGTCTGTTCGCGTTTTTAAACTAGATTAATAGCAAGTGGAGTTGTCGGCAACTCATCATGTTTATTAGCAGCGGATGTCTTCTGTTAATGATGGTGATGAATTTGTTCTTGTTTAATACCAAGTAAAGGAAGTCTTTGTGTTACATTAATTTTCAAGATGTATACTTAATAAAAAATTTTTCTTTGACGCCTTTGATATATTTTTATATTTTAGTTTTAAATTATTTATATTTTAAGTTATATATATTATTAATCTCATAATATCTATAAATATAATGGCTTGCAAATATATAATAAATAAAATGTTATACTTTAAACATAATTTCGACCATAAAATAACATAACAACACGTTTTTTTATTCCTGGAAGGGTAGGCAGAGGTGCACATTATGTTACATAATGCCACTGTACAATGTAACACCACTTTTCACTATTTATGTTATGAGGCCCATGTAATAAGGGGTGAGCTTATTGTCATATATCGGGCACTATATCAGACTCCGTGCTACTACTAAGATTTAATAAAAACCAGTAATACTTTGCCCGACCCGGGAATCGAACTCGAGACGCCTTGTCCAGCAGTCGCTTACGACCACTCAGCCAACGAGGCAGTTACTTTAAACCAAGCTTGCATTATTTTTAGTACTATGTACCATCTAATAAAACCTATAATTCTGCAAAATATTTTTACTTTATTTGTCCTCGTAAAACTAGGACCAAATCCGTTCTCATCTCCCCTCTACTAGACCTATTAATTTATAGAGTGTATAGCAACATGCCATGTTCAATGTGCAATGGTCTGATTAGCCTCAGTGGCAGCAATGCGCACATATGTAGCGCGCACATGCCACGTGACCACACGCTTCTGTGGCTGATGGTACATGTAAGTCGTGGTTAGTACATGTATTGATTTGATGAGTACTAGAAATTGACTTTATGGTAAGTATTATTGCTATGTCGTGGTAGCCCGGAGGGTTACAGCACTTCTTATGCATGAGGGTGCGGTTCGAAAACTACCAACGGCAAGCACCAATGTGACTTTTTCCGGGTTATATGTACTTTCTAAGATTATCTAGACACCACTGACAAACGGCGAAGGAAAACATTTTGAGGAAACCTGGGCTTATAATTTCTAATTATAAGTTTGGAATCGCCAACCCGCATTGAGCAAGCGGCGTGATTAATGCTCAAACCATCTCCGTGTGAGAAGAGGCTTTGCTCAGCAATGGGCATTTATAGGCTGTTGATGATGATTGTTGCTATGTTAGTCAACTGATCTGCGTAAGCCTTGAACATAGTCTTCAGGTGGATCGTTATTTCAAATAGGTACTTAAAATTTCAATATGTTTCTTTCATTTGAAACTTTCTAGTACCTACCCGTGAAGCATGGGTTCTGTACTACGTTGCCTAAACTAGAGGATTTATTGAATTTTATTCGCTATCATTCTTACTTTATATTGAGATTGAAAGTAGTACCTGTATAATATCATCGTTAAGTTAGTGATTTATGGCTGTGTATACTGAAAAAGTAATGAATGTTACAGATCCTTTTTGGATCTAGAGCACCATAGAAAAAGCTCTCCTGCTCAACCCTTATACTCAACAATAGCTGTCGTTATGAAGGTTGGATTGAAAGCCAAAAAGTGTCAACTTCAAAGGGTTTCCAAAAACGTTTTACCATACTGCATAATGATTTAACGAAAGTGGGTAACCCCCTTGATACAGTAGTGGTAACGGATTCGATGCCAGGGGATAAGATGAAAATGACTGACTTATGCGTGCATTGACACTTCTGTTCATGATTTAAGATATATAAATAGCTAATTAAGAAAACTTTAAATGATACGAAGACAATATGATTTTTTTTTGTTTTGATAAAACGTTGCCCCACACTAGGATTATCTCCTGTGTCGTGGGTGCGTTTACAGATACATACATACAAGTTCACATACACAATGACACCCAGACCCGAAACAACAATTTGTGGATCACACAAAGTATTGTTCCGTGCGGGAATCGAACCCGCGACACGTTGCACGGCAGCCGGTTGCCCAGCCACCGCACCAACCGTGCAGTCACTGCTTTTTGATTACTGCTTTAAGAGGTGGAGCTAAACTGTGAACAATCACATTGTTTTACTCAACATTCCTAAATAACAGTGTATTGTCGTATGACTTGAGGATAGCACTGATACATACATACATAACTTTACGCCTGTCTCCCACGGAGGTAGGCAGACACTTTGCAACGCTAATTGCTACGATTCTTACATACTTGTCTCGCTTACCGTAAATACTCTGAACACCAACAAATGTTCCACAATAAGTCACTAAAAGGCCAAACGGGTCACCAACTTGAGAATCCAACAATACAATACGAAACAATGGAAAACAAAGATGCAAAAAACATTTAGATGATTCGTCTTATCCGAAAAACGATTTCAGACTCCCTGAAAAACACTACCTCCACAACCCAAAATAAAACAAACGCCTCCACCTTCCTGAAGCAAAATATTCCGTAATGTCAAACCAATACGAATGTAAATCGCTTGTACAACAAGAAATAAACAGATCTCACGAAATAGGAGCTTCGTAATAAGTACTCTCGCGGATTCATCTCAAAAGGCACGATCCGAAACGTTAACACTACAGGAAAAGCGCCAGGCGATTATGAATCCTCCCTCGTTAACAGTAAGTTGAT